GAGCTCGGGCTCCTAGTAGGGAGCTCGGACTCTTGGTAGGGAGCTCAGACTCAGTAAAGCGGTCTAGAGTTCGGGCTCGATAGTGAGCTTGGACTTGCTTCCGATGTTCGCTTCGGGCGCTCTACTGTCCCGAGTTGCTTGCCTTTGCCACGTGTCGGGCGATTGCGAGGTTGGGCCAAATTTCCCTTCATCATATACAGATTTAGAGTTTCACTACCAAGTTCAATTCTTGCTGAAGTTCAAACGGTTAATTTAAGACCGAAAGGAAAGCTTTAGACAAAACCAAACAGAAGATTTCAAAACCACGCTGTCAATTTACCTTTGTCAAAACCAACTGATCCATCAAAACGTAAATGTTTTAGTTGAACCAATCCAATTAAAATAGGCGTCAGACCACTTCAACCAAATGTTATATACCAATGTCAAATTATTATCATCACCATCACCATCATCATCTAAGTCTTATCCCAATTATATATAATCGATTACATTGAATTATTATCATCACCATCATCGTCTAAGTCTTATCTTATCCAAATTATATGAAATCAATTACATGAATCCTATTGTACTATTTCATTTGTTTAATACATATCCATCCTTGTTTAAATCAATTTTTACCATTTCAAATCACTTCTTTTAACATGCTCCTAACCCTTAACCCTTCAATGAATGCCAATTTGATATTTTCAGATGGAATTCATTTATGATACATTCATTAATATTAGTTATTTATCAATTGTATTTACTATCACATTCAATTAATTATATTTTTTTATAACAAATACAAGTAAAATTTTACTTTTCAAACATTATTTTGTTAAATTATCACATAAAATAACTTGGGAGTATAATTGAATCAAAAGGAAAAGTGAAAATGGACCAATCGCCAACCCAAAATCTGTGATGGTAGAAAATGAAGGATGGACATTTTCGGAAAAGTGAAAATTTTACCTTTCAAATATTATTTTGTTGGCATGTTGTTGAGTTCAGCTACGCCCCTCCTCCTGCCCACACCTGTAGTTGTATGCATCGTAGGTTTTTCTACTCGCGCGGGTGACGTTAAGGGGGACATTTGGCTCCCAGCGGTTCGTGCCTTTGCAAACACGTTGCGGCACACACGCAAATGACAAAATGCCTGACAATTGGAACCGTAGATCACGCCACGTAGAATCAAGTCAAAGGATGACGTCTCCGACAAGGCAAAAGGAGCTCCCCCGTGATGTGTTGTTGATCTCAAGTCTCAACTACTACTGTCGACTACCTAGTAGCCCCCTTCTACGTCTTTCTTATCATTATTTTCTCTCTTTATCTGGTTCAAGCCTACGTGTACTTGACACGTGTCAAGACATTAGACCAAGCAAGAAAACCATGGGAGCTCCTCGGACCTCGGCTACTGGTTCTGACTTCTGACGCTACTTTGCTGCCACGTCTTCATCGTTACCATCACAGGATAGAAGCTCAGAATTACGAACGAGAACGACTTTGAGTTTGAGTAAATGGGCAGCCCAAGTGACAGGTGGCACATGCAAATTAAGGGAAAGAATCACACGTGACGACTTTGAACCCTGAGGGAACTACGTGTTTATCTCCCAGGGGAGTGGTTCCAAAAGTGTTGGACGGTTTGGATTGCTTGTCTGTTCATTACGCCACGTAGCAGAAACAGGTGAATCAGCTAGGACCTACCCGTTGCGTCCTGGCCCTGATGTAAGCAACCCCTCTAAAATCAAGTGGATCGGAACAAAAGTGGACCCCTCAAATACAACGGTTACCACATGGGTGTGTAACCATCATCTACAAGCTTGATCAGCAATATGATATGGGATCATGAAAATCATTGATTTAACTTAAAATTTTTCTTTAATCAAGGGAGGAATAACTAGCCAACTAGGGATGGTGATGGAAACATATATCCCACCCAAAAATCAAAATCATGTCAAAATAGGTCATCTGAGATCGACAAATTGGTGGATGGGTTCCACACTCTACATACAGCACACCGACCACGATGGTATATCATCCAATTTTGTTTTCTTTTTCTGCCCTTTTTTCATTTCTAATGAGAACCGGGGCCACCTAGGACCTATGGATTACGAAAACGGAACACGGTTTCTGGGTTTCAGATTGGGATGACGAG